CCCCCCCCCCGTTACTTATGGCAGCCAAAAGATGCAAAGCAGTAGAAAAGATCTTGAAGGCTGACACCAGGCAAGATAAGGGCTGGAAGACATCCACAGATAACAAAACGTACTGGGAAGGACGCCAAACTCAGAGAGGAACCATAAACTAAAGATATTTCCATGCTTTGTTTCCAGTGTTTGCCTGTACGCATGTCCGTCCTCTTATTCAGTTGTCACACGTGCAGCCCATGAAGAAGATCAAAGCCCTCTCCTCCCGAGTAGACCACGTCTTTCCCTTATCCTCTCCTCCCTACATGCCCTAGGATGGGCCTGGGTCCTCTGACTGCCCAGGCGGTCTCTGCCCTTCCCCAGCCTCCTCCACAACCTCCGGAGCCACACTTCCACTCCTGGTTGTTCCTCCTGAGTCAGTCTCCACCAGGGGCATGACACTAACTAAACAGCAAGGCGTCACTGTCTTCAAGATGTCAGACCATCCACACACTGTGAAAACAGACTGTATATATCTGCAGTAAAGTACCATGTCCATTTGTCCAAAATAGTATAGGGCAGGGGTGTCAAACTCAAGGCCTGTGGGCCAGATCTGGTTTGTGGGGCCACCCTGGAAACAGCAAAGGCCCGGCCCACGGTACCTCTGCCAGCACAAAGGGACCTCGGAAGGGCTGCATGCGGCCCTCCCAAGCTCCGTTTTTGGCCTCAACAGCCCTCTGCAGCCCTCTGCCAGCGAAAAGGGGCCCTCCCTGAGCTCTGTTTTCGCTGGTGGAGGGCTAGCAATCCAAACCAAAAGTAAAACAAGACAAAAGGAAGGATGTTTCCCCTTTTGCATTTGAGCATCCAAGAAGGGACAGGAAAGGAGAAAAGGGAAAAGGAAAGGACAAAGAAAAAGGAGGAAAGATGGGAAGACAGCAAGGAAGGAAAAATAAGGAAAGGGGAAGGAAGAAGAAAGAAGGAAAGAAAAGGAAGATTTTGGAGGAAGGGTCTGAGGGAAGTCCTGCCTTAGTACTTGGCTACCACAGGTGTCTCCCCCCCCCCCCGACATGAGTGAAGTCAAGCTGGCCACAACCCTGATGCGGCCCTCAATGAAATAGTGTTTGCCACCCCTGGTATACGGTCTGCTTGAGAAGAGAGTTGGACTAAAAAGGGCCCTTCCATCTCTTCTATATCAGGGGTGTCAAACACACGTCATCACACTGCTGTCACATGATGAATCTTCGTGACTTTTCCCCCCTTCACTAAACTGGGGGTAGGCCTGGCCAGCGCGTGATGCATCCAGCCTGCAAGCCATGAGTTTGATAGCCCTGTTCTATATACTGCATTTCTAATGTTCTTGTATGAGAGTTCTATCAAAATCAAGCACTTCCGGCATTTGTGCCATTTCTCACCCAAGCAATCATGACCTGCTCCACCATTATGGTTTTGTTGTGCTCCTTTTCATTTCTAAACAAGAAACATTTGCTTCATTTGCTCAATGGGTTTGCCCTTTTAAAAAAAGAACAACAAATGTTAGAGTTACGTTGCTTTGTGTTAAGCCACAGCTGAGATCTGATGCTGCAGCAAGCAGGAATTCAGTTCCTGCTCGCCACAATTTAATATTTCCTTTGCCCGAGGTAGTAGATAATCGAACTGAAAACAAACTGCAAGCCAATGAATGAAAGGTATTGATGCTGGGGAGAAGAAAGGCTTGGCAGAAAGTTACATTCAGTTGTATTTTGTGTTGCTGATAAATGCAACCATCAGCTTTTCCATAATTCCCAGGAAGTTGGCCAAAATCCATACAGAAGTAGACCCAGTTTATTAAAAATCAATGCGCTTCTGCAGTCTGGTGAACTTTTTAAAAGATGAAAGAACATTTGTTTTAATATGTGCGTGTCTGTTTCTCCTCCTCCAGGATCAGCAAGAACATTTTAAAAAGTCAAAACCTACATTGAAGTAATATTTTTATCTCTGCTAATTCAAGTTATCCAATTTCTACTTCTGTAGGTCTAAGTATAGAACTGAATCATCTGGAATATGCTTTAGGTCAACTAGATATACAAAATATAACACTGGTGAGGAAAATCACCAGTGTTTTTTTGCCCTGCTCCTTAACTACCAATTGATAGACAATATCTTTGTATTGTTGAATCAAAGCAAAGATCTATGAAGTCATTAGATGAGCAGCAGCTACTAAAGTGATCTCTTTGTGACCTAACTGACTTCACCCTTTTCCACTTGATGGGATCAGAGTGAACTACAGACCCCTCTGAGGGTGGTAGCTGGCCTGAATGTAGGAGACCATTTGGCTTTGAAGACCCATGTCACCTGGAGAGTTGCCAATATGTGGTAATACAGTAATGCATCCTTCGTGTTCAGGTATGCGATGAACAGATTTTTAAATAGAAGAAAGGTAAAGTAACTTCAATAAGTGGTTTGTAATGTATTTGCTCTTATTTTGGCTCCCTGCTTCCCAGGTCAGGGAACAAGCCTATAATGAAAATGAAATAATAACTAGAGCTGTGCAGTGTTTCAAGTCCATGGATGCTTTAGAGTAGGAGTCCCCAAACTTGGCAACTTTAAGATTTGTGGACTTCAACTCCCAGAATTCTCCAGCTAGCATTACATAGCTGCCTGGAGAATTCTGGGAGTTGAAGTCCACAAGTCTTAAAGTTGCCAAGTTTGGAGACCTCTGCTTTAGAATGTGTCTTTTGTCATAGTCCATGGCTGCTACAAACTTAGAAGCAATTTTCTGAAATAGAATGCCTAGGTAATTTAACTGGCTTCTATCTGAATAGCAGGCAAAGGCAACTATCATGGAACATGTGCATGACCATGGAAACGGGAGAAGAGATGCCGCTTTGGAAACACATAAGAGAGACAGGAGCTCCCAATGGCTTACTGGTCAGAGAAAGAAACTTAGGAAGGACTCCTTCTAATGCAGGCGTGTCAAACTCAAGGCCCATGGGCCAAATCCGGCCTGCAGGATCAGGCCCACGGGGCCGGCCTGGAAACAGCAAAGGACCGGCCCACAGTGCCTCTGCCAGCGAAAACGGAGCTCCGTTTTTGCTGCCAGAGGGTTAGCAAAAGAAACTAAAAACAAAACAAAAGGAGAAATGTTTCCCATTTTGCATTTGAGCAAAAGGACAGGGAGAATGGGAAAGGAAAGAAAAAGAAGTGAAGAGGGAAGGAAAAAGAAAAGGAAGGAAGGAAGATTATAATGAGAGTGAGGGAGGGTCTGAGGGAAGTCCTGCCTTAGCACTTGGCCACCACAGATGCCCCCGACACGAATGATGTTGAGCTAGCCACGCCCGCCACGGCCCACACCCCTTCCCTCCCCGAGGTCAAACACAACCCTGATGCGGCCTTCAATGAAATCGAGTTTGACATCCCTGTTCTAATAGAAGAGTGTTTAAAAGCAGCAGTGACCACTTTGTACTTTCACACTTGCAAGATTCTATTAATGTAGCTTTACACTAAAGTAGAATTAGCTCTCATCTAGTCATGTTTCCTGCCTGGTTTACCTCAGGGGGTTTACACAGTAGTGGCCAATTTTTGAAGTAATTGTAGCGGACAAGGTTTAATTCTGCACTCAGAGGTCCCCCATTACCGGGCCTTGAGCCATTTGGAACCAGGCCACAGAAGTGGTAGATTGAGCAGGCGTGTGAGCAGTGTGCATGCCCGCTGCTTGTGCAAATGGAGCTGTGCGCACGTGTATGCTTGCCTGTTACTTCTGCAGAACCATCCCCTCTCTCTCCCCCCCGCCCGCACTGGTCCACAAAGCCAGAAAGGTTGGGGAACTCTGTTCTACACAACTACAAACATGTACATTTAAACAGGAAATGGTTCTTTCTATCCTCCTTCAGTCATTCATTATACATATTACAGCTTCATTTGCTTACCTCAAAATCACTTTACAATCAGTGCACTGATAACGTTATCTAGTTGGATAATGAAACGTCTGCAAGAAAACAAGCTCAAAGAGCACCAAAGACCCCTCATTCCAAACATGAGGTACACATATTCTTTATTGGTACTTTATTGTCCAGGGGCTGAAAGTGACCACTGGACTGATAGTTGCATTACTTCAATTTTTGGTGAGACTACTTTAAGTGATACAGGTCATGTCAGTCAAAAGAAATAAAGAGTTACAAACTTCAAGAACAGCTGGGAAGGAAGTGATCATCTGCTCCTCCAATAATTCTTTCATTCTCCATAAAATCATAGGGTTGTCTATGTTGGCATTCTGCTGCATACCTTCATGTAATTTTACACACCACCAAATATATTGTTGTAACAGCTGCCAGTGATAGGTTCTTTGCCTTGGGGCACCGTTACAAACCCTGGAATTCTGACCTTCCCTTGGAACATTTATGCCTGAACATCATCAATAGACTTTGTGATGCATTTGTCTTCTCCCAGTCAGAATCTTTTCAGATTGGTTTGATGCTCAATGTTAAAATAGCTTCTCGGTGTTCCCAAATAATAATCACATATTCCAAATGCATTTCCTGAATTACAATCATTATCACCGTCATCTGATTACATGATTCTCAATGCCGCACAGAGCAGTGTGTGGCAGCAGCCAAAAAAGCTATGAACAATCCTTGGCTGTATAAACGGAGGCATAGAATCAAAATCTCATGAATTATTAGTACCACTTTATAAATCCTTAGTAAAACCACACTTGGAATACTGCATCCAGTTTTGGTTGCCCCATTACAACAAAAAGATGTTGAGACTTTGGAAAAAAATGCAAAGAAGAGCAACTAGGATGATTAAGGACCTGCAGGCTAAAACATATGAAGAATGGTTGCAGGAATTGGTTATGGCCAGTTTAGAGAAAAGGACTAAGGGTGACATGATAGCCATATTCCAGTATTTATGGAGCTGCCATAAAGAAGAGGGGGTCAACTTATTTTCCAAAGCAAAAAGCAAAATGGATGGAAATTAATCAAAGAGAGAAGCAACCTGGAATTAAGGAGAAACTTCCTAATAGTGAGGATGATTAACCAGTGGAACAGCTTGCCACTAGAAGTTGTGGGTGCTTCATCACTGGAGGATTTTAAGAAGAGACTGGACAGCCACTTGTCTGAAGTGGTATAGGGTCTCCTGCTTGAGCAGGGTGCTCGACTAGAAGACCTCCAAGGTCCCTTCCAGCTCTATTCTGATTGATTGATTGATTGGTGACATATCCAGTGCTTCGGACAGAGGTACCGAACTCTCAACTTTAAGACTTGTGGACTTCAATTCCCTGAATTCAACATGGCTGCATGGGGATTTCTGGAATTTGAGATCCACAAGCCTTAAAGTTGCCAAATTTGGACACCCCTGCTCTAGGAGTTTTAGGCAACAGAACATAAAATTAATCTGTGTTCAAATACTAACCCACTTGTGATGTCGGAAGCTTTCACAAGCTGGTCTTTTCTCCTTCTTTTCTTGGTGCCCTGCAGAATGGCCTCTGTTTCTAATCTAGCTAAAGTCTACCAGAGTTTATAATTTATAATTTGCCCAGTTCTGACCGTCAGAACTGAAGAAGCTTCTTGGCTGAGAAGCGAAATGTCTTCAAGAGAAAACAAAGTCTAGTTGCCTTTTAAAAAAGCACCTCTGGGACAAGCAAATACTGGGGGAGTTTCTGCAGCAAAGGTCTCCAGCTCCCTATTCAGAATTGGGCTGCATGAATGGCTGGCCTGAGTGTGCATGCAGAGTGTGGGTGCAGCTCAACTTGCACGAGCGATGGGGCTGGCGTGCGTGCGGGGCTTCTCCATTAACTTACTTTGCCCCCATTAACTTTGCTTGTTCGGAGTTCACCAAAGGTGATCACATAATAACCCCAGGACACCGCAGCTGTCATAAATATGAGTCAGTTGCCAAACACCTGGATTTTGATCCCATGACGGTTGCAACGGTTGTGTGAAAAACGGTCATGTCATTTTTTTTTTGTGCCATTGTAACTTCAAAAGGTCACTAAAAGAACTGTTGTAAATCAAGGACTACATGTAATGGAAATTGTTATGCTTCTGGGTGCTAATGCATGCAAATATTCCAGGTAATTCCAGTATGTAAATATTTTCATCTGTTTTTATTTATAGGGGACAATCCAACTTTTTGAACATTATCCCAGATCACTAAAGATAGAGTCTCTTTGGACTTCAGCTTTCCTTCATATATTCTCCTAGAAGATTTCTAAAGGCTATGCTCTTCAGTCCCCTCTCATGGAATAAGGTGAGTCTTGTACTTTTCTAGGCCGTGGCTTTGAATTCAGCTTCAACTGCAATAATACACGGGCAAACAATAGATACAAACTCAAAGCAAACCGCTCCAAACCCAATTGCAGAAAATACGACTTCAGCAACAGAGTGGTCAATGCCTGGAACTCCCTTCCTGACTCTGTTGTTACATCTTCAAAACTTCATTTATTATGTATATACTTACACCTGTTTATATTTATATGTTTATATGTTATGTTCATACTTATACTTGTTTTCTCATACATGCTTGACAAACAAAATAAATAAATAAAATAATCATTACAGGCAATTCATCTGAATGTCAACTTTGAACCAGATGCCTTTAACTGAATGTAGATCCAAGATTTATGCACGGCTGAATTCAAATCAGACATTTCTTCCAGGTAGCTGGAAGAATCTAACAAAGTAAACTCAAAACGGCAGTGATTTTTTTAAAAACTGATCTTTTTAAACTTTTCTCAATAACAAAATATAAAAAGAACAGCAATAACATTAACTTCCATTGCAATGTACCAAGTTAAAAATCTGAAGAGAATAAAGCTATTTTTCCCTCCTGTCAACAATACAATGAGGGAGGCATTACATCCAACAGTACTGATCACTTATACAGCTAGTCCTTGGTTTACAACCACAATTCAGCCCAGAATTTATGTTGCTAAGTGAGACATTTGTTAAGTGAGTTTTGCCCCATTTTATGGCTTTTCTTGCCACATTTGTTCAGTGAATCACTGCAGGGGTTAAATTATTAACACGTCTGTTAAAGTGAATCTGGCTTCCCACACCGACTGTGCTTGTCCGGTGGCAAAAGACAATCACGTGACCAGGGGACACTGCGACCATCATAAATGTGAATCAGTTGTAAATCAAGTCACCATGGGGATGCTGCAACGGTCATAAGTGTGACCAACGATCATAACTCACTTTTTTCAGTGCCGTTGTTAACTTCGAACAGTCACAATATGAACTGCTGTAAGTCGAGGACTTTAAAATAGAATGAACGAGCTGAAAGGGACCTTGGAGGTCTTCTAGTCCAGCCCCCTTCTCAAGCAGGAGAACCAATACTATTTCAGATAAGGATATACCAGGCGGGCGTCCAGTCTCTTCTTAAAAACCTCCAGTGATGAATCACCCACAACTTCTGGAGGCAAGTTGTTCTGCTGATTAATTGTTCTCACTGTCAGGAAATTTCTCCTTAGTTCTAAGTTGCTTCTCCCCTTGATTAGTCTCCATCCATGGTTTCTTGTCCTGCCCTCAGGTGCTTTGGAGAACAATTCGACCCCCTCTTCTTTGTGGCAGCCCCTCAAAGACTGGAATACAGCCATCACGTCACCCCAGGACAGCCTGTATTTAGATTTTTGTCCTGAGTGGATGTGACTCAGGGTTTCTCCCAAGGGGGATGATCCCCACCTGAGCGATCCTAACGACAGCTTGCACGCCTCTCGCCTTGCTAGGCTTCATTGGACAGCAGAGCCGGCGCTGCCCTTCCTAGATAGATAGATAGATAGATAGATAGATAGATAGATAGAT